GCCAGGCATGGTGGCTAGCGCCGGTAATCACAGCACTTTGGGAGGCCAAGGTGGGCAGATCACCGAGGTCAGGAGTTCAAAATCAGCCTGGCCAACATGGTGAAACCTTGTCTCTACTAAAAATACAAAAACAAGCCAGGCATGGTGGTGCACATCTCTAGTCCCAGTTACTCAGGAGGCTGAGACAAGAGAATCACTTGAACCAGAAGGTCGAGGTTGCAGTGAGCTGAGATTGCACCACTGCACTCCAGCCTGGGTGACAGGCATATGTCACCAAGCCTGGCTAATTTTTTGTATTTTTAGTAGAGATGGGGTTTCACCAAGTTGGCCAGGCTGATCTCGAACTCCTGACCTCAGATGATCCGCCCTCCTCAGCCTCCCAAAGTGCTGGTATTACTGGCGTGAGCCACCGCACCCGGCCAAGAAGAGAGACTTTTGAATGCTCCCAACACAAATAAATGATAAATGTTTGAGGAGATGAATATGCTAATTATCCTGATTTGATCATTACACATTGTATACATGTACTGGAGTATCACATGTACCCCATAAATATGTACAATCATTATACATCAATTTAAAATATTTTTTAAATTTGGGAAGTTGGACTTGCGTAAAACTGAAACTTTTGCTTTGTAAAAGATATTTTCAAGAAGGCAAAAAGACAAGCCACTGACTGGGAGAAATAATTCTCAACTGGTAACAAAATACACCACAGTCAGATTAGCAAAACAAATATAAGAATGCATAATTCAACAGTGATGAAAATAGCCAACTAGCCTGCAAATGTATGAAAGGCTTTAAATTGCTTCCAATCTATTATTGATAAAGAGAAAATATCCTCAAAATAGTCACTGAAAAAAGTAAAATAAAGCCAAAAGGGTTTGGGAAGTAAAATTGTAGCTTACCTCAATAAACAGCCTGAAATTCACCTATCTCTTCTAGTTAAGAAAAATAGCTTCTCTGAATAGGAGGAAGTGAAAGAATAGCGAAACCTGGTTCATTGTAAAATGGTGTGATCCTGTGTTGGGCACGCAGTAGAGATTTCGTAAATACATACTATCCAACTTCACATAAGGTGTATAGCCTAAAGAGAAGGTATAATATGCAGCTACTTTGTATTAGTCTGCTTTTATGCTGCTGATAAAGACATACCCAAGATTGGGAAGAAAAAGAGGTTTAATTGGACTTACAGTTCCAAATGGCTGGGGAGACCTCAGAATCACAGCAGGGGGTGAAAGGCACATCATACATGGCAGCGACAAGAGAAAATGAGAAGGATGCAAAAGCAGAAACCCCTGATAAAACCACCAGATCTCATGAGATTTATGCACTACCACAAGAATAGTATGAGGGAAACTGCTCCCATGATTCAAATTATCTCCTACTGGCTCCATCTCACAACATGTGGGAACTATGGGTATAGAATTCAAGATGAGATTTGGGTGGGGACACAGAGCCAAACCATATCATTCCACTCCTGGCCCCTCCAAATCTCATGTCCTTACATTTCAAAACCAATCATGCCTTCCCAACAGTCCCCCAAAGTCTTAACTCATTTCAGCATTAACCCAAAAGTCCACAGTCCAAAGTCTCATCCAAGACAAGGTAAGTCCCTTCCACCTATGAGCCTGTAAAATCAAAAGCAAACTAGTCACTTCCTAGATACAATGGGATACAGGAATTGCATAACTACAGGCCATTCCAAAGGGGAGACATTGGCCAAAACAAAGGGGTTACAGGCCCATGCAAATCCAAAATCCAGCGGAGCAGTCAAATTTTAAAGCTCCAAAATGATCTCCTTTGACTCCAAGTCTCACATCCAGGTCACACTGATGTGAGAGGTGGGTCCCCATGGTCTTGGGCAGCTCCAACCCTGTGGCTTTGCAGGGTATAGCCCCCCTCCTGGCTACTTTCACGGGTTAGTGTTGAGTGTCTCCAGTTTTTCCAGGTGCATGGTGCAAGTTGTCAGTGGATCTACCATTCTGGAGTCTGGAGGTCTTCTCACAGCTCCACTAGCCAGTGCGCCACTAGAGGCTCTGTGTGGGGGTTCCAACCCCACATTTCCCTTCTGCACTGCCCTAGCAGAGGTTCTCCATGAGGGCCTCGCCCCTGCAGCAAACTTTTCCCTGAGCATCCAGCATTTCCATACATCTTCTGAAATCTAGGCAGAGGTTCCCAAACCTCAATTCTTGACTTCTGTGCACCCACAGGCTCAACACCATGTGGAACCTGCCAAGGCTTGGGGCTTCCACCCTCTGAAGCAACAGCCTGAACTGTACCTTGGCCACTTTTAGTCACAGCTGGAGTGGCTGGGATGCAGGGCACCAAGTCTCTAGACTTCAAACAGCACAGGGACCCTTGGCCCAGCCCACGAAACCATCTTCTCCTAGGCCTCCAGGCCTGTGATGGAAGAGGCTGCCTTGAAGACATCTGACATGCGCTGGAGACATGTTCCCCATTGTCTTGGGAAGTAACATTATGCTCCTGTTACTTATGCAAATTTCTACAGCTGGTTCCCATTTTCTGGGTTTTTCTTTTCTATAACATTGTCAGGCTGCAAATTTTCCAACCTTTTATGCTCTGCTTCCCTTGTAAAACTGAATGCCTTTAACAACATCCAAGTCACCTCTCGAATGCTTTGCTGCTTAGAAATTTCTTCTGTCAGATACCCTAAATCATCTTTCTCAAGTTCAAAGTTCCACAAATCTCTAGGGCAGGGGCAAAATGCCACCAGTCTCTTTGCTAAAACATAACAAGAGTCACCTTTGCTCCAGTTCCCAACAAGTTCCTCATCTCCATTTGAGACCACCTCAGCCTGGACCTTGTCCATATCGCTATCAGCATTTTGGGCAAAGCCACTCAACAAGTCTCTAGGAAGTTCCAAACTTTCCCACATTTTCCTGTCTTCTTCTGAGCCCTTCAAACTGTTCCAACCTCTGCCAAAGTCACTTCCATATTTTCAGGTATCTTTTAAGCAGTGCCCACTCTACTGTTACCAATTGTATCAGTCTGTTTTCATGCTGTTGATAAAGACATACCTGAGACTCGGAAGAAAAAAAGGTTTAATTGGACTTACTGGAAGTTCCACATGGCTGGGGAGGCCTCAGTATTACAGCAGAAGGCAAAAGGCACTTCTTACATGGTGGCAGCAAGAGAAAATGAGCAGGATCCAAAAGTGGAAACCCCTGATAAAACCATCAGATCTCATGAGACTTATTCACTACTATGAGAGCAGCAGGGGGGGAAACCGCCCCCATGATTCAAATTATCTCCCATCAAGTCCCTCCCACAACACGTGGGAATTATGGGAGTACAATTCAAGATGAGGAGATATGGGTGGGGACACAGAGCCAAACCATATCATACTTACTTGATATCTAAACAACTATAATTGCCAGAAGCCCATAAGAAGCCCATTCCTCTGATTCCCATTCACAATCTATCTAAAAACTAGCCACATTACCAACTTTATGTCTAAGAGTACACTGTTAGCTGCTATAGAACTCTTTCAAAAAAAAAAAAAAAACCCTTCTATTCAAGTATCACGTGAAGAAAGTTCATAAATGGTTAAATTTACAGAAAGCAGAAAGTAACACCTATAATATCTGGCACATAAATGACAAAATGTTGTTTTTTTTTTAAAGAAGCATTACCCAGGTAAAGTACGTATGTCAGAATTTCTGATCTCTAGTCATATCACAAAAAGTGACTCCACCAGGCAGTGGCTCATACTTGTAATCCCAACATTTTGGGAGGCCAAGGCAAGAGGGCTGTTTGAGGCCAGAGGTTCCAGACCAGCCTGAGCAATAAAGCAAGACCCTGTCTCTACAAATAACTTAAAAATTAGTCAGGTGTGGCGGCATGAGCCTGTGGTCCCAGCTACTTGGGAGGCTGAAATGGAAGGATTGCTTGGGCCTGGGAGGTCAAAGCCACAATGAGTTGTGATGGCACCACTGCACTTCAGGCTGGAAAACAGTGAGTCTCTGTCCCCTCCTCTCAAAAAAAAAAAAAAAAAAAAGAGACTCATTAAGAAGGTCTCCATAGCAGGGCGTGGTGGCAGATGCCTATAATCTTAGCAATTTGGGAGGCTAAGGCGGGCAGATTGCTTGAGCCCAGGGGCTCAAGACCAGCCTGGGCAACATGGGGAAACCCCGTCTCTTTAAAAAAAAGGAAAAAAGGTCTCTATAAAAACATATTTTACAAGTGTGTGGGATGAGAACTAACTGCGGGCAGATCCCGAGGTCAAGAGATCGAGACCATTCTGGCCAATATGGTGAAACCCCATCTCTACTAAAAATACAAAAATTAGCTTGGCGTGATGGTGCATGTCTGTAGTTCCAGCTACTTGGGAGGCTGAGGCAGGAGAATCACTTGAACCTGGAAGGTGGAGGTTGCAGTGAGCCGAGATCGTACCACTGCACTCCAGCCTGGCAACAGAGGGAGACTCTGTCTCAAAAAAAAAAAAAAAAAGGAAAAGAAAAAAAATGTTATCAAGAGACAGGTAACTAGCATATTGGAAACTAACATTTCTGGCACATGGGACCTATAGCAAGAATGCGTATCTTCCAGTCATGAGTCATGGATTAGGCTGCCCCTCTATTGTGAAGCAATTTTTCAGTAAAAGGAGCAGCATATGAATAATGACTTGGACAAGCTCCCAAGAAGAAACCAGAGTAAAGCTAGGTCTGAGAAAATTATACGGTATATAGCATACATTATATTAATGCTGTTTTCCTACTCACTCCTATTTCTTAATGGCAAAGAAGTGAAATTTAGAGTCTTTAGTTCTATCTAAATTTTACTATTTTTTTATGAATTTTAGTAATACCGAATAAAACTGTACAGGTATTACCTTGGTTTTAAATTTTATGAAAGTGAATCATATAATGCATCATTATAAATTACTTAGTGACTACACTTATGAAAAGCTCTCACCCGTCACATACCCATCCCAGCACACACACACAATGACACCAGAAGGCAATACTCTGCTTTACCTTCTGCTGAAAAGTCTGCTACCTCCAACGCTTGAGGTCCATACACGAAGGCCTCCTGGAATCTATGAACACAGCAGAGGCAAAAGGCAGAGAAGTTTATGTAGATTTAAAGTTACACTGCCCAAAACATAAAATGCCAAATGCCTATCACAAGTCTACATATCTGCCAAGGAACTCAGATTTTAGATTTGACAATGAGCATATCAACAATATACAGGTAACATTCACAATTCATTATATATAATGCAGCTTATTGTATGAAAAGACCGAAAGTTGAGTCTTAACTAATTATATCCTTACCAAAAGAACCAATTTATACTACTGGAAAAACTAATGCAGCAATAAAGTATGAATTTATATACACTGAAAGTAACAATTCAACCTTTTAAATTATGTGAGAGAGCCAATCCATATGCAGTAGTCCCCCCCTTATCTATGCAGGATACGTTCCAGGACCCCCAGTAGCTGCCGGAAATCTGGGATAGTACCAGACACCCTACACACACTGATTTTTTATCTAATAACTAAAATGACTACTAAGTGACAGGGAGTATCTATAGCATGGATATACTGGACAAAGGGATGATTCATGTCCCCAAAGGGACAGAGGAGGACAGTGCTGGACAGCACAAGATTTCATCACACTACTCAAAATGGGTACAATTTAAAACATGAAATCTTTATTTCTGGAATTTTCCATTTAATATTTTCAGACCACAAGTCAGTAACTAAAACAGCAGAAAGCAAAACCACAGATAAAGGGACTGTTATATAAAGAATATAAAACAAATTAAAGGCTGGGCACAGTGGGTCATGCCTGTAATTCCATCACTTTGGGAAGCCAAGGCCGGTGGATTGCTTGCGCTCAGGAGTTCAAGACCAGCGTGGACAACAGGGCGAAACCCCATCTCTACTAAAAATACAAAAACTAGCTGGACATGGCAGTGCACACCTGTAGTCCCAGCTACTTAGGAGGCTGAGGTGGGAGGATCACCTGAGCCCAGGAGGTTGGGGCTGTAGTGAGTCCTGATCACACTACTACACTCCAGCCTGGGTGACAGAGCAAGACCCTGTCTCAAAAGAAATAAAAAAGAGGCTGGGTGTGGTGGCTCACACCTGTAATCCCAGCACTTCAGGAGGCCGAGGCAGGCACATCACAAGGTCAAGAGATCGAGACCATCCTGGCCAACACGGTGAAACCCTGTCTCTACTAAAAATACAAAAATTAGTTGGGTGTGGTGGCAGGCGCCTATAGTCCTAGCTAATCAGGAGGCTGAGGCAGGAAAATTGCTTGAACCCCAGAAGCAGAGGTTGCAGTGAGCCAAGATCGCGCCACTATACTCCAGCCTAGCAACGGGGCGAGACTCCATCTCAAAAAAAAAAAAAAAAAGAAAAAGAAAAAGAAAAGAAAAAGAAAAAATAAATTAGGTGGAAAAATATACTTCACAAAATAAAGTATGGCAGGGCCCGCAGCTCAAGGTACATTCTCTTCTTAGAACCAGAAATTATTGGGAATATCGTAGAAAAACAATTAAAAACAGACCTAGAAGAGGATAACGTAAAAGAAAAAAGGAGAAAGTAGCACTGTAAAGCTATTCTGGTGGCAAGATTTAATTTAATTCTGACAGTAATGTTGAAATACGCAAGGTACTACATATGCTAGGCAGTATGGGAGAAATCTACCTTGTTCCAATGTCATAAAATAAAAATAATCATGAAATATGAAAGGCTTTTCAGAAAACATTCACGCAGAAAAATTAAGGATTTAATCAGGTAAAATATTTAGATCTCAGATTTTATTTCATTCTTTTCTGGTAATAGGGATAAAAGACTACAAAATATAGCTGATAAATGAGAAAAACGAATCAGATAAATTTTATCAGCTGTTAAATTTAAAAGAGAGGGGCATATTACCTTTATGGAGTATTTAGAAATCTTTAAAAGTATCATCAAATAATTAGAAAAGAAGGAACAAAGTATTGTCTTAAAACCTGATGACATGTCAAGGAAAAAACAGTATTTTAAAACATTGGCCCTGAAGCCAGGTGACTTGAGTTCAAATCCAAGGTAGCTCATTTAAGTGCTTTGTGACATCAGGCACCTAATCTCTCAGTATAACCTGTGTTGTTCAATGAGGACACCTTCAGCATCTCTCCGATTTATATTGAATATCAGTGAAAAAAGGTTTTTAAAAACGTTATAAATTACAGAATGCTATTTTATGCAAAAATTTAAGCCAGTGCATTCTATTTAAATTAGTGACTTAACAAAAGTTGTTAACTAAGAACCAGAGAAAATAGCCGGGCACGGCAGCTCATGCCTGTAATCCCAGCACTTTGGGAGGCTGAGGCAGGTGGATCAGGAGTTCAAGAGCAGCCTGGCCAACATGGCAAAAACCCCATCTCTACTAAAAATACAAAAATCAGCTGGGCGCAGTGGCACGCACCTGTAATCCCAGCTGCTTGAGAGGTTGAAACAGGTGAATCTCTTGAACCTGAGAGGTGGAGGTTGCAGTGAGCCAAGATCGCGCCATTGCACTCCAGCCTGGGCAACAAGAGCAAAACTCTGTCGCGCAAAAAAAAAAAAAAAAAAAAAAAAAAAAAAAAAACAGAGAAAATATTCCTTGCCCAGCCAGAGAATCTGGGGAGCTATGTGAGGAAGCCCGAAGAAGCACAGCAAAAGTCTGAGATGGCCAAAAGAGCCTAGAATAGTTAGTTTCAAAGCTAAATGGCAGCCAGAAGAGCACAGTCCCCAAGAGATGATTATGTCAAATTACTAATTTAGCAATAAGCCCAGCCTCAGCTGTATCTTCTCTTAATTCCCAAACAGCCTTCTAGACGGCACTCTCCTCTAAAGCAGTGCGTGTGACATTCTGAGTTAAGTGCATTTGACATACTATGTTGAAACACAGTGACTACTTGAATATTACATATAATCCTGAAAACCAAAGAGATAAATTCCCATCCAATAAAACAATAATAGCAGCAAAGGCTTATATAGAATGTTTGATGTGCCAGGCACAATTCTAAGAGTTGTACAAGCACTAACTCATTTGGTCTTCACAACTCTGAGATAGGTACTATTATACTTTAAAGATGAAGAAATGAGACAAAGGGAATTTAAGAAACTTGCCCAAAAGCATGCAGCCAGAAGTGGCAAGTCAAACCCAGACCACTCCCAGAAACATGTTCTTAGTCACCACATCATCCAGCCTATGAAATTAAAATCATACAAACCAGCATCTATCTATATGTAAGAAGCCAAACAATTATACGTGTTCTTAAGTATTCAATCATCTATATATTCCTCAGCATATGCAACATTTTCTCAGAAAATTCCAATTAAAATGTCGTATAAAATATGTAACAAAATGAGAAATGTGTGATATGAAACTAAAAGAAAAATTAGAACTTTTTCAAAACAAAAGGCCTTAAAATTTAAAATCAGTATATCCGAATAACAAATAATATTGGTGTAAGAGTAGCAATACTGAGTATTTCTGTTTTTTAAACTTGCTGCCATTTGGTTATACAACTCACTCAAACATTTTGTAAACTTTAAAATCTCAATACAATAAGATACCACCTCATACCTTATGACGGCTACCATCAAAAAACTAAACAAGGAAAAACTAAAAAAATATAAAAGAACAAGTGTTGGTGAGGATGCAGAAAACCCGGAAGCCTTGTGTACTGTTGGTGGGAGCACAGAATGGTGCAGTTGCTATGGAAAATAGTATAGCGGTTCATCAAAAAAGTAAACACAGAATTACCATATGATCCGGCAGTTCCATTTCTGGGTATGGAGTCAAAAGAACGAAAAGCAGGGACTCAAGGAGATACTTCTACACCCATGTTTGTAGGATGATTATTCACAGTAGCCAAAATGTGGAAGCAATCCAAGCTTCCCTTAACAGGTAAGTGGATAAACAATTGGTAGCATATACATATAACAGAATATTAGCCATACAAAGGAGGGAAATTCTGACACATGCTACAAGCTTGAAGGCATTATGCTAGGTCAAATAAGCCCTCACCAAAGGACAAACACTACAGATCCCATGTACATGAGGTAGGTACCGTAGTCAAATTCATAGAGACAGAAAGCAGAATGTGGTTGCCATGGGCTAGGCTTCGGAAGGGGAGAATGGGGACTTATTCCTTAATAGGTGCAGAGTTCCAGATTTGTAAGATGAAAGAGGTCTGTGGATGGATGGTGGTGATGGTAGCACAATATGAATGTACTCAATGCCACTGAACTGTATACCTAAAAATAGTTAAGATGGTAAATTTCTTGTTATGTGTATTTTATCACAATTTTTTAAAAAGTAACATGTGCTAAGTATAGAAAATCTAAAAAGGGAATTGCAAAAAGAAACACAAAATTATTTCATCTCCCAAAAAAACACTGTAAACCCATTTAATGTGTATTGTCATAGAGTTTTTAAAAATCATACTATACACTTTTTTAAAAAGGAATTCCTATCAATGTCTTTCTTACAAACATTAATCCTCTTTAGTACTGATTTAATTTTACTAAAAGTTTAATTGGAAGTCTTTTAATTCAAAGGTTAAAATTATTAAAGTATAATTTTTGCCCCACTAAAACAGCTTTGTTATCAAAATAACCACTTGAGTCCTCTAGGTTTCCCGCAGAATGGCTTTTACTCAGAGTTACCACAGAGTTTCAATTCTTGTATTATTAACCAAACCAGTCTTGTATAAGCAATCACATGTATTACTACTTGGGTAAATTGTACTAAATTGTTCTCCCTACCTCCATTATCCATCCTCTTTGTGGCAAACACTACTGGTTGCCTAGTACACACCCATTCTCCCTCTCTTCCTTAGGAACAGACCGTGGTTTTATTCTGGGTGGCACATATCCAGGTAAAAGTGTACATTTCCCAGCCTTCCTTGCTACTAGGACTGGTCAATAAGCTAGAAGTGGAAGTCACTGGATGAGACACTTACAAGATAGCTACTTAAACGGAACTTAGCTAGAAGAGTCTGTAGCTCAGATACGGTGGATGGCACTCCAGCAGTCATTCTGGACAATAAGG